GATCGTTCAAGATTCGAAACCAGCCTGAGCAAGAGCGAGACTCGTCTCTACTATAAATAGAAAGAAATTAATTGGCCAACTAATATATATAGAAAAAATTAGCCGGGCATGGTGGTGCACGCCTGTAGTCCCAGCTACTCGGGAGGCTGAGGCAATAGGATTGCTTGAGCCCAGGAGTTTGAGATTGCTGTGAGCTAGGCTGATGCCATGGCACTCACTCTAGCCTGGGTAACAAAGTGAGACTCTGTCTCAAAAAATAAATAAATAAATAAATAAAACAAGCAAATAAAATCCCTTCAATAGCTCCCATTTCCTTTATTTGCTTTTGACTTTCTACGAAGGCTTAGCAAATAAAACAGATAAAATTAGAAATGGGGTTAGGGTTAACAGTTGTGACCCTTGCCCCCCTGTGCTGAGTACAGGCCAACGCCCGCTGGCTTGAGAGAACACACTCGAGCAAGGCTCTCAAATAGAGAGAGAAACCAGAGGTCACGTGGCATGCACGATGCTTCCTGCAGAGACTGTACCATATAAATACTCACGTACCAGGAGGACATGACCCCTAAAATAGGACAGCAATTATGTCCTTCACTCTAGGCAGTGGGTGTTTCCCAAAGCCAGTGTGAGAGCCCAGGAGACAGGAATCCCTTTATCTTTTCTCTTCCTGCCTCTCAGGATGTGAGCACCTTGCTGTGCTGAGTGTCCGCTAAAGAAAGAGCCATTTCTCCCACGGCCAGAAGAAAGTGAGGCCCTGTGGGTCTTATTGTAATCAAATATATTGGAGTCACCGCGGTATGTCTTTCTGAGGAATTTTCTAGGAAATTTGAAATTTTGACTATACTTAGTTGATATATACACACATACTCCCCACCCCCTCCCAGAATATGTGCCTGCCCTGTTTAATAACTTGCACATTGAATCAGGAGCCAGGGATCTGGGGACCAGGGACCAGTGAGCAGTGGCAGTGGCTGGTCATTGTAATATCTTTTTTGCACGCCCCTGGCCTGCTGGCCACAGTTGAAGCATGGCTAAAAGCTCCCCTCCCTGAGGCCAGTCTGGGCATTAGCACTTCAGTGAGCCTCGGAGGTCTAGTCAGTCCTGGCAATCACTCCCTGGGGCGGGACAGTAAGCATGCTCTTTCTGATACATTTTGCAACAGTTCTGTTCATCCAGGCAGGGTCCTCTTTAGGGAACAACCCGTGTAGCACGTGTAGCACGCTGTGTCAGCTACTATGGCTGCATACAGATCACCGCAAACTTAGTGATGTAAAATAACCATTTATGATATTGATGGATCTGTAGGACAGGCATTGGGAGGGGCGCAGTGGGGAGGATGTCTCTGCTCTGCAATGTCCAGCCGAATGACTCAAAGATGCAAGCAGGGATCCCCTAAGGCTGTTGACAGGGTCCTGAGCTGGGGCTCTCAGCCAGACACCTCACACAGCCTGTCCATGTGGCTTGGGCTACTCACAGCATGCAGGCCGGGTTCCAGGGTGAGTGATCTGAGAAGACATGTGGCTTGGTATGTCCTGCCTCTGCAAGTCAGGCAGTGTCACCTCCGCTGTGTTCTATTCATTGAAGGAGCCTCAAGGGCCATCCAGGTTCAAGGGGAGAAGTGATCAACTCTATCTCTGGACGGTGGAGAGGCAATGCCATGGGAGCTCACATTGCTGAAGCCACACGAACACTCTGCCATCGCTGGGCACAGCGTAGAAATATAAGAACGTTCTGCCTGGCCCCTGATTTAAGGGGTAACAGGCAGGACCTCAGAAACTGTGTACAGCTGATACCCCTGGCTCTGCTCCCGTCATGCCCTCTCTGGACAGACAGGTTTTCTTTGGACAGAGCAGAATTTTTCATCAGATTGATAGCAATATGTCAATCTACCTCTCATCAGCTGTCTATTCTTCAGTTGAGGATAATTGTGTTACCAGGATTCTAAATGACAGTGTTATAATAAAGTAATAAATCCCTCAAGTCATACTCACCTGGGTCACATTCAGTGCAGGATCAGAATCTGTCAGGCCAACCAGGAGTGGTTTCTGCGGGAAACTTGTTTTTTGGAAAAGCAGCTCCACAAGAGAATGCCAGTTGGGTCTTCTGTTACTAGATGTGGTGCCTTGAGCTCTCTGAGTTTGCTTTCTCATGCCACTTTGTGTCCTTTTAATCTCTAAAAAAAAAAATTCAGGCGAATTTCTTCCATACTTTTTCATTATGGTTTGAATCAGTGTGTTTGGTAATTCTTTTCTTAATTGTAAATACAATTGGTCATTGTATTTCAGAGATGTGGAAAATTCAGGAAAGTATAGAAAAGAAAAGAAAAATTTCCAATACTGCCGTTCCTCAAAACAATAATTGTAAATTTTTTTAGTGCTTTGCCTGTTTGAGTAATTTGCTCATCATCGAATGTTCTTATATTAAAAATGGTTTTATTGACTAAATATTACAAATCTAATGAACCAGAACTTAGTTTACCCATTCCCTTTATTGTTGGACAGTTATTTCTTCTTTTTCATATTTTAAATGTCATTATCTTTGCATAAATAATATCTTATGTTTCTGTTTGATATATATAAATATATATGATTGGCATTTTCCATGCTTATTACAAAGGCTTAATACAAATTATTTCAGTTTAAATATATAAATTATTTCTTTTTAATAGAGTCCAGGAAGTGGGATTAATGAGTCATAGGATATGAACAATTTAAAGTGCTTGTGTCGTGGTCTGAAATTGCTCTCCACAATTTATACCATCACTGTCAATCTGCACATAATTTTTAAAGGAAACAAGTAGGGATTATATGTTGGGGAGAATGTAAAGCTATATCTTAAATTTATTTTATTCAGCCTTGATTTCATATTTGTTGTAGCCTTAAGATGAAGATTCAGTTATTTGATGTTGAGTATTTTACATTCCTGCATTTCCTGTTCTGAGTCTATATGTTTCTTCTGTTTCAGTGTGTTCTCAGTCATATACAGTTTCCCACTAATACTGTGTTTTTCTCCTTCATGTATGACTTGTGGTTTCACCACTGTCAATCATTTTTTCTCCAGATGTTCTTTTTCTTAGTGTCTCACTTGTTTCACGTGTGACTACGGTGTTACTGCCCATCGTCCACACTTCCATCCAATCTGTCTGCCCCTAATTCCATACCTTAGATAAAAATGTTACTACTTTTAGGATCAGTGAAATATGTGTATCTGTGATTTTTATGTATTTGCTATCTTCTTATCACTGTTATGGTCAATTGTGAGCAAACTTCATGCATGCTTCACATTAAAACTCATTTAATTGTGTCCATATGTCCTCAAAATTGTGTTATTATCACTAGATTTCTTTTCTTTTGTATATGTGTTTACTTGCAGTAAACTGGACTTCTCTAATATTTATATTAGTTATTTATAATTCCCATTAACACAATTTTATTCTAATATAGTTGACTGGCATATAAACTTTACACTTGATCTTAGCCAAAAGGCCGAGAAGCGATGGCATATAAACTTTAAACTATTGTGGAGCTAATATAGCAAATGTCAAGTTACATACCTGGATTTAATTGTTATTCATGGGTTCTGATTATAATGTTATATAACAATGATCTCCAAGGACTTTTTAACAGGAAATATTACCATGCCTGGGCGTTTTATGGCTATCCTTGGGTATTAATTACAGCTTTTATAGTAAACTTTGCAGTTTAATCTGAATACACATCTTAATACTTTCCCTTTTGCAAAATTCTCTAAGTATACCTTCTAAGCTTTTCATAATAGGTTGGAAAAATAATACCTTTACATTTGGTTAAGTCTTAATTCTGAGCTCATTTCTTGCTTTTCCTCCTTTTATTCTAAGAGTCCTTATTTTCTACTCTTATTTTCTTGACCTTGTTTGTTCACAAGTCCATGACCTTCTATACACCTTGGGGTGAATGACTAAGCCATGGCCCTCGCCCACAGGGAGTTTATGCTCACTTGAGAGGACACAGCACCTATCAGCATATCTGCACCACAAGGTGGAATTGTTATTTGGGGGCCTTGAGGAGATGGCTGGTTTGGGATGAGATTAAAGGAGAATACACGGTGAAAGAACAGGAATGCAACGATGGGGTCAGTCCAGCCGGCAAAGGTTAGGTTGCATCTGGGAGAATAGAAGGACACGGTTGAACTGTGGGCCTGTGTCAGGTCCTACAAGGGCAGAGTTTGTCACCTTCCTTTGTGCAGGAAAGTGACACAAAGAGGGCTCTTTTCTGGCTCATGTGTGAGATATAAGTTCGAAAGGGAAACATTAGAGAAGGGAGCTCAAAGACTCACTGTTCTTTCATCAACACAAATGATACTCTGCACCTGTCGTGTGCCAGACACCATGCCAGGAACTATGGACCCAGCAGCGAGCAAGACATCGTCACCCTGCTCTTGTCACCAAGGGCTTATACTCCCATGCATGGTGGTGGCAGCAGCAGGTATATAGACAAGACACAACGCATGGCATTTAGAGTCTTGTTAATGTTCTAGTCTTCCAGGACTGTGGCCACAACAGTGTATTCAAGGCCCTACTAAGTCCCTGTGCCTTTAAGGGAATGTCCCTTTGTCCTTACAGGTCAACCCTCTTGCTCCTGGGATGCCCTCTCCCCTTTTGTTAGGATTCTTATTAAACTGTGGGTTTGCCCACAGATGCAGTGGAGAGATTCAGGCTTCCCCTTTGATAAACCCACTTCCGGAGCTGGCATACTGGAAGCAGCACCTTGAAATGACAAGATAAGGGACGTCACCAATGGAGTTGTGTAGATGCAGCTCATCGTTCGGTACTAATTTGAAATCGGTTCATGTCTTCTCGAGAACGATCTCTATTAGAGGAAGACAAAGGCTCTAGCACGATCCTGACTGAGGTGCAGTAGCTGGGGCGCTCTTTTAGGAAATATTCCCTTTGTGTACTCTCTGTGCTCATGGCCCTAAAAATGTCTACGGCTTACAAGTGATCTTTTTTCTTTTTCTCTGGCCAGGAATCTTACATCCTTTCTGCAGAACTTGGAGAAAAATGTGAAGCCATAGGCAAGAAGTTAATGCACTTGGAAGATCAGCTTCACACAGCGATCCGTAGTCACGATGAAGATCTCATTCATATCCTTTTCCTCTTGCAGATCAAACAGCTGTGAGGTTATTTTGTAAAAGAGAGTCTTTACAAAAAAAACACGCAGTTTTTCCATGCCTCAAGCAGATGGAAACAAACACACGCTGCCATTATTTATAGTACAGCACACCTCGATCTCTGCGATTATCGAGTATGCAATGTTTAATCCCTAGCTTTTGGTAAGCAATTCAGTATTTTTCATTATTTAACCCCACTGCCAAAAATTAGCCACAGAGTTCAGATATGCACACAACGAAGCCAAAGCACAGTGTGGTTTTCAGTGGATGTAACCCAGCTCTGTGTGGTCCTGCTGAAAGAAAACATTTGCCTAGTGCAGTTTTCTACTAGCTTTTTTAACAGCATGAGACCCAAATACATGTTCCCATTTCTTTATCTAACAATTCTGCCTGGGAGCAGGTAGTAGAGTGTCAAAATTAACAGGACCTTGGATCATTCCTTTGCAGTTTCTAATGGTTGAGCTCAATCCAGCCCTTTATGGTTTCTGCTGATAGGATTTTCTTGCACCAGATTCAATATCCTGGTGTCACACCTGCAGACACCTTCATCAAACCAGCTGTCCATGAGCAAGATGGCGCAAGAGCATACTGCCTTTGGTGTGCGTCCTCCTGAACTGCTCTAGCCCGTGTGGGTCTGTGGATGCAGCCAGTTTGTCACTGGTTAGCGACAAACTCTGAGAGCAGACAGATGGGTGTGCTAAGCGATGAAGGGATGTGCAGCCCCATTCTGTATCTTTGTAGTTATTTAATCACAAGCTGACACTCCTCCAGCTAAAAACACTTCTCTGTTCATTCATTCTTGCTATTCAGTAGCATGACTTTTATTAGACATGTTTGTGGGAAATGAAGCTATTTTGGCCTTTGCTTCTTATTGCTGTCCTGCTTTGCAGAATGCCGGTTCTTACCATCTTTTATGTTGTGTGTGTGTGTGTGTGTGTGTGTGCTTTTAAAGTAGCTTTAAATGGTCAAGGATTCATCTTAATCGCAAGTATTCAGATCCATGACTTAATAATAATGGATCGATGCTATGTTTCCTTCCCTGTTATAACTTTAAATCTTTGACCTCACTTACTAAACTTAGAGGAAATTTCTTCCACTTAATCAGCGATGATTTTTACATTGCTCAAGGTAGATTTTTCAAAGCACACATTCTGTTCTTCATAATTTCCTGCCTCTTGCAAAACTAGTATTTAAACTATTATTAGAAAGTTTCCCTAAGAAGCAGTAGAAGAAGGATGGCATTTTTTGTCTATTTCGTGTTCACGGGGTGACGAGGTGACACATATTTGAGCGCTTCTAAGGGGGCATGGTGTCCAACAAATGGGCAAGTGACAAGGCACAGAAGAGCAACCCACTGCAGACAGCCACGGCACAGGGAGGAGGGCCTGTCCCCTGGTCTGGCAGGTGGGGTGGTTCCTGTGTGGGACGTACCTCGGGTGTGTGCAGGTTTAGGTAGCAGTTATGAGAGCTGCAGCTGCAGTCAGGGTCTGTGTTTGTTAGTCTCTTGTTTTGAAACTTTTTAGATCGTTGGTTTGATTTTAGGGAATTGAGTCTTTGTCTTACTAGAGCTGGGAAGGTCCCGTTGTGTTTAAATAAGACCATTTTAGTTTTTGCAAACCAGATCCAGTAGCAGTGGGATTCCAGACAAGTGATAAAGCCTCTTTAACCATCAGGATCCTCATCTGTAACACCAGAATAGTAATACATGCCTCTGAGGTTTTTATGAGGCTATTACTATATTCACCGTGTATGTTTAAGTCACAGTCCTTATGTGTAGTAAGTACTTGGCTGTAGGTAGAAAATAAAGTTGTCCAAGTCCATCTGTCTCACAGTTCTTAGTATCTTTGTCACTGGCTCAAACAATATCCCATTTATACCTACAAAGTCTCAAGGCAGGTTGATTCAGCTATTCTGCCATAAATGCTTGAAGGAATCCATCAGTAATTCCGCCACGGCTTATATACAAAGTCATTAAATTCTAATAAAACTTCTATAAATAGTTAGAGACTATTATTCCTACTTGACAGTTGAGAAAATCGAGGCTGGAATTGCTTGGCTAGCCCAAGATCCTTTCTGGCAAGTGGCAGAACCTTCCAGCCACAACCCCTTGGTCCTCCTTGGCCGGTCAGGAGGCAGCCATGCCTGTAAGTAAATGGACAGATCTGTTCCATGGAGCCTACAGTGACTTTAAAATGTTAAGCTATAATTTAAGTATTTTATTGAAGTTACGTTTTTGAGAATTTTGCTGATCCTTGTTGCAATAAGAGAAGACATCCTGGGGAAACGTCAAACCGGGGAAGCGCCGGTTTAGGTACTAACGTCAGCTCTCTCCATCCCTTTAATAAAACCTACGCCACCATCCGTGTTTCAACCCAGACTTTTTTTTTCTCTGAAGCGCAGATATTGTTCTGTGTCACTGATTGAGAATAAATACACAGAAGGTGTCTTTGAACTCATGCAAAGCGGCACTTAGATTCGAGTGGAACATCACGCCCTGAGATACAAGGGCATGTTTACAAAGCTCCGCAGAGGCTTCCCTACACAAACAAAAGCTGTTGTTTCAAATTAGAACTTATCTAGAGATTCAAAGAGGCTGCCAGAATCCTCCAGCCAAACTCTGACTGGTTTGTATTTCCATTTCTGATCAAAGACACAATGCTGAGGAGGGTTGAAAGAAACAGCTTGCCATCGACTAAATGGAAGAATTGCACAGTGAGCACAGTATTTTGTTTGATTCCACTGAGCATGCTACCAGAGCCTACTGTGCAAAGGAGGTATTGGGCAGCTGAGTAATCTAAGTCCATGCTGGAGTGAGATTGACGTAAGTCCACGATGGACATCCACGTCCAGAAGATTCAAGCCCTGGATGCTGTGATGGATGTTCCTTCTCCATGTGGAAGGACTGAGAGCCTTTGCCTAAGCCACGTGTGTGCATAAACACTGTTAATGCAGCAGTCACAGGGGCGAGGGATGGGTGGTGGGACTGAGTTTCCAAACAGGTCCTCGGGCATCCTGACTTAATATTCACGTTTTTTGGGGGCAGCCTGCAGGGCGTCCCCTCCTTTTACGAAGAAGACAATGGATTGACAAATCCATAGAGGGGGAGAAAGCAGTGTGTGCCCTCCATCATCCTGATGGGCTCACTCAGCTGTATGTAACATGACCAAGTGACAACCAGGCTCGTCAGCTACTGCAGTGGTGGGTGTCTGAAAACAGTCTGCCCCATTAACTGGGAGAGCTGGTGGCCGGGATGTGGCTCTCGCCCCGTGTCTGCGGATAGGGCAGGAGGGGTGACTTCACAGCCAGGTAAGCCGGGATTTCTGGGAGCATTAGTCTGGGGCTGTAATACTATGTCACAGTCATTTGGGGCCCTAATTAGCAGTTATGTTTTGAAAACATAACTGAGTGTATGTGATGGCTCCTCCACATTCACAGTGCTTTAACCTAAAACCTTCCGCGTTAGGTGGATTTTTAAACAGGGATTTTCTCTTGTTTTTTTATTTTTTTTGTTCTCCTTCAACTTCCACGACACGCTTTCAAAGAAAAAGAAGTGCACCTGGGATTTGCACATTTTTGGCATATTTCAAAGCCCCCAGGGCGGTTCCGCCTGCCTCAGAGTCATAGATGAGAGGGGCACACACTGATTCCATTTGTGCTCGTGTTTACATCCATGTCCCGGAAGCCCGTATGGAATTCTGTCCTGACTGTTTATTTGGAATGCGTGGTGCCCAATTGATTAGTTTTGGTGGTGCTTGACGGCATGCAAATACTCTAAATACATCCAGGCTCGTGCATGCACAAGCTCCACAGCGCTGTAAGGCCCCTTGTCTGGTTCAACCTTCAGATCCATAGCTTGAACAGACAAAGGTAATGGGAGTTTGGGGAGACTGCTCTGCATTTCTTGGAAATGTTTTCAACTTCCAGAGTTGAGAAGCTGGAAAAGGGGCCACGAGGCTTGTGAAGCTCCCCCAACATATTTTATAAATGAGAATATCGAGAGCCCTAAGAGGTTGGTGCTCACAGCCTCGTGCAAGCTGGGCGGATGCAGATATGGAGGCTCCGGCTTTTTCCTTTGGCTTCCACTCAGGCTTTGCCGAGGGAAAAAGGGAGAGGTGGAACCCCACGGCACAGGGAGGGGATGCAGACGGGGTGGGGGGGGCTGTCCTGCTGCTGGCTCAGCGTAATGTGGTCTTAGCACAAAGTGGGCAACACAGAAAGTTCCCCCGTGCAAGCATCAAATCCTTTGAATCAGGTCTTGTGTGTAGGCAAGGTTTTCATCTTTGCTCTCAAAAGACTGTGACCTTTACCTCTGGCTTTTCTGGGAAGATAAATTCTCCAGTACTATAGGGTGTAGTGCCTGCAGAGTCACTTCTTACAATGCTTGTGAGAAGAAATAATGTGGGAAATGAGAAGCAGTTCCAAAGGATGTGCAGTTTGAGTATCGCTTATTCAAAGTACTTGAGACCAGAAGTATTTTGGATTTCAGATTTTTCTAGACTCTAGAATATTTGCATTGTCTTTACATACCAAATCCCCAAATCCCAAATCTAAAATGCTCCAATAAGTTTTTTTGTTTGTTTGTTTGTTTTTTGAGCATCATGTCTGTGCTCAAAAAGTTTCAGATTTTGGAGTATTTTGGATTTCAGATTTTCCAATTTGGGATGCTCAGCTTGTACTATTGCTTGTTTTTGAGCCAAATTAGGTCAGATGACCTGAACTCCTACTTTTGACTAAGCCATCAAAATGGACACTTGGATTGAGAGTAAAACACTCAATTGTTTTTGGGTAAAAACAAAAGACCCCATTGAAAGAATTCCTGGATTTTTTGCAAATGGCTTCCCTGAATGACAATATGGCCTTACCACTGTATTCCTGGGTGCATGTGTCTTCCTAGTTAGTCTCACTCCTTTACTTACTGCAAACACAGACATTTTAACAGGCTGTGCACTGGTCTAATATGTGGCTAGTCTATCCCAAGGTGGTAAAGAATAGCCTTGGGTTCCAAAGGAGTTCTAAAGATGTTAGGATGTCAATCCCTGTGACATTATTATAATTAATCTGCAGATTTTCTTAGATACCTCAGAGACCTGGTGGCATATCCACTACAAGGGAACAGAGACTTAGCTACTCAGGTTCCTAAGACACAAGCATCATAAGAATTATTAAGCTCCTTTGAGACCAATTCTTATGCTTAAATACAGTGAGCACCTCTATTCCAGGTGCCTACAAATCCAATACTAGAGTTTTATTAATACTTTGTTCAGCCCTTTGGCAAAAATCAAGGTCAAATATGTCCATGGGCTTCAACTATGAGCTTATTGGATTAGCAATCAGATAATCTTCTAGCTCTACTCACTACTTAACCTTAAGATCTTGGTTAGATCTATCACATGGGATAGTTTATTTTTCTGTATGTCAACTGAGAAAATGTTGTGAAAATATTTTTTCAAATATTTGGTCCAATATAAATGTCAGACTCACGTCTGTTTCCCACTCAGCATGTCCCTTGGGCTAATAGGTTTCTCTAGGTTACCATGTTCAAAATGCAATTCTCGGCCCATGCCCCCACCCTCCAAAAGAAACTAAAACCACTTTTTCCCAATCTTCTCCTTCTCAATAAACTGCAGGCTATTTTTCTAGTTCTTTGGTCAGATCAAAAATCAGGGAGTTATTCTTGATGCCTTTTCCGTCTTCTCATATTACACATCCAGTCTATGGTCACATGCTGTTGGCTGTATCCTTGAAACACATCCAGAGTCTGGTGCCCTCTCTCACCTCTACTGCCTCTGCCCTGTCCAAGCCATGATGGTTTCTTTCCTGAAAGTTTGAAGTTGCCTCCTAATTGGTCTTTCTGTGCTTCTGCTCCTACCCCCTCAAGCCCATTCGAAGCACAGCAGCCATATTGATGACACTACCCATCTGCTCCAAGTCCTCCCATGGTCCCTATCCCACTTCGAACGCTTAGCCTTGCCAGACAGACTGTCCACATGCCCGCATGTGCTTATTTTCTGTTGTACTCAGAGGTATCTAAACCCGTGATGGCAGGAACTTTGGTTCACTCCTGTACTGCCATGCTCATAACATTCTTAACACAGAGTAGTAGCTCAGGAAACACTTGAATATCTGAATGACTGAGAGAAAGAATGGGAATCTCTAGCTGCACTTTCATTTCTCCCCCTGCTCAGTGGAGAAATGTTTCAAGTGGCTTGTTTTATAAACATACTGATTTAAATATGAAAGTAATGCACATCTTTTGTGACTATCTCAGAAGTATGGAAAAATATTAGTAGAAAAGCTGTGTTTCTCTTCCACTGCCATTACCTACAGACCGCTACTCTGTGCTTGTAAATCATTTTTTTTCTAGCTGTGAATGTCTTACCTCTATGGTCTTCATTTGCAAAATTAGGATCATTCCAATTGTTCTGCAACTTGCTTTTTTTTCCACCCTGCATTTTATCCCAGACATTCTTTCATTTCAGTACATCCAAAATGTTTTGGAACTCACATTTAGTAAGGAGTCATACAGGCAGGTTGGTTAAAGAGAATTATTTTGTACATAAAAACATAATTTTAATTATTTTAATGATTATTACCCCATAGGCTCATTAAATGAGGTTTCCAGCATTTCTGATGTCAGAGCCTAAGGTGTTTGCTACATCTGTTATATGGAGAAATAAACCTTAAATCTCATAGCACCTCACAAAAAGCACTATACTCTCACAAGAAAAATATCTTTCATTGAACTCTAACCCTATGAAGAAGGTATAAGATTCTATATTTTACAAGTGGGACAATTAAGCATTGAATGATTTTCCCAGCTTCCCATAGCTAGGGAGTTGTATTCTGAAATCCCAGTTTTCTGACTCTTCTCTGTGTTAGTGGAGATTGTTTTAAGAGGGACCGATGTGTTAATTTCGTTACATAACTTCATCTTTTTTAGCTTCTCTCTCCCCCCATCTTTTTAATTATTTTTTTAACTTTTTCAGTTTGTGCTGCCAGTGCCAGAAGTTTTATGAGTTTTTAAGCATCACATTTTGGTTCAATTTCTCTCTCTAAAAACCTTTGTCATCATTTACCATATTACAAAAAACAGCATGTAGTCCCAGGCTGCGTATCAAAGGTAATTAGATCTCAGGAGTTTGTCAGGATTCATAAACTACTTAAACTCTGTGCTTGCTCTTTAGAAATGTAGCATAACGTTGTGATTAAATTCCAGCTTGGTATTCAGTCTGGGACCACTTATGCTTTTGCTTGTATAAAAGTCGTATGTGTTTTCACTGAAGGTTAGCAGAGCTGTCCGAAAAAAATAGAGGCAAACAAAGCCTCTTAAAAAGGGGGAAGAAAGGCAAATATTGGATTTTTGCCTCCAGCCAGCCTTCATTCCCCTCAAGATCAAGTGCAAGGAGGGAAACGTCATAGTAAATATGGGTGAATTATACAAATGACGAAGTCTGGTGAAGCTTCAGAGGATGAAAAAATGCCAGAAGTTTTTCAGGGTGGTTCAGCATTTCTGCTTAGGAGAGGTTCATTTGCATAATTCCCAGCATCCTCTGGAATTCCTTTTTCAAAAAAGAAAGGGAAAGCTATCTACAGCCATGACCTAAGGGTATCTCTTTCTCTCGACATTGCATTGACGTTGCACATAGAAGAAACAACACTGGAGCGGAGGTGGCCCATGAGCATTCAAATCTCTGCAAGCTGCCTTTCCCAAAGCTCTCTGTCCCCTCTGTTCCCTCCATGGCTGGTCTACTAATATTAGAGTGGTCTGACCTCATGTGATGATTTCACCATAAAGGGAGTCAATATATTTCTACTTTCCCCCTTGGTCCCTGTTAGATGAGGTTGAATTGGTTTGCTTGTTAAACCCGTCTCCCACCTTGTGTTTGCCTTTAGCGTTGTTCTGACTGCCCGTCGCAGGGAGAGGGCAGAGGGACCCGACAGTGGGTGAGCAGAAGAATCTCTGCTAGTTAAACGTTCCCCTGCTTGAACACCCAGAAGAGAATCCATTCTCTTAAAAGAATGATGGCTTTATCTATTCCAAATTGTATTTGTTAAGTTCTTTGAGATTTGTGTTCTCTATGTGTGAAACAACTTTACAGGCTAGGAAATTTAGGATCCAACAGGTTAAGGAAAAGCAAGCCAACCACTGTAGAGAAGACAAGCTCCCTGCATGTCTTCAAATCTTGTGTGGCCTTCCTAGTACAGGAGGTTGAAGCCTGGAGGGGTTTCAAAGTCATCATTTCCTGAGAAAACTGAGGTTCAGAGTGGCTCGCATAGGTGACAAGGCTGGTTAGTGGTGAACAAGGAGCATAATTCATGCCTTCCAGTCCAGTCCAGGGTGTTTCTCTGTACTTATGATGACCCCAAATCCTGGATTTCTTGAATTCTGCTCTTTCTGCTGTCAGAGTACTTAGACCTGACAGTTGCCTCAGCCCGGCTTGGGGCTTCGCGGCAATGACAGCCACGCTAACCTCCTAGCCTTGAGCACCCCGGTCGGCCATCTGTTTCATCTAAGAGCTGACTCTCTTCCTTTCTGAGATAGTTAATACCTCAGGCCTGATAGACGTTGCAATCGTTCTTAAAAGAAGAAGTGTAAAATCTGTATTAATATTTAATTCCTACAATTTGGAGGAACTCGACACTGCAATTAGATGGCAGTGCCCATCTGCTGCTGGCAGGCCTGCTTGCTCGCATGAGGCCCCTTGCAGGCTGCGGAGGGCCGCGATCACCTTCGGCTGTGTCCCTTAACCACACGCCCACAGTCTCTCAAGAGGGAGCTCCAGATGGTGAAGGAAACTCTTCAGGCCCTGAGCCTGCAGCTCCAGCCAGCAAAGGAGGTGGGAGACAGGGAGGCTGCAGCTTCCCGTGTGACAGCTGGTGTCCAGGAAGCACAGGCCTGAGGCGTGCTGGGATGGGGAAGGGGTGGGCCGCCACGTCACCAGTGTGGACTCGGGGGGCTGCTCCCCCTCCTCCGCTTCACTGATGGGACTGAATCGATTCCGGAGATGCAGAGCCCTGAGGTCTTCCAGCGGGAAGATGCTGCCTGTTCCTTCCCGTGAGGCCGAGATCGGCGCGCCTGCAAATTGGAATATGGAGAAGGGAGAACGATTTGCTGAATTTTCTTCTAAATGTCATGCAGGGATTTCTTTTTCGTGTCATTCGTGGGAATATGCTGCATGGGATTTGAAAATCTTTCTATCTCAGCCCCCATGAGAGAGAAGTCGAGATGAATTCCCTGGGAAAAGTGTCTCCTTTTCCTGTACCATTTTGCTTCCTGCTGCAGCTAAAATATTTTCTAATTCAAGAAGCTATAAAAAGGAAACCAAGCAGAAGACTCTGTCACCATACCTGTTGTACTGTTCTATGGGCACTAAGAAAGCTAATTAACCCCACAGTCTGGAATTAACAGCCTTTCACCTCACTTCTCCTGTAATCTAATGGTGCATCAGAGAAATTGATGCGTAACTTGCAAAAATATTTTGGTAAGGCAACAGCCCCTCAGTTTTCCTTTTGTTGCAATTACTATATCTACAGAAAGGATCTCTGAGAGTCTCTGGCTCATCAGAACATTCTGAAATTGACCTACAGTGAGGGCGTGGATGGACCAGGAGACTTGTGTAAACCTCTTGAGCCTCTCCTGTTTTCCCTTGGAATCTCTTTCACTCAGTGCCAGGCAGTGCAGCACTCAGCAAAGCAGTGCAGCACTCAGTGACACGGTGTAGCGCTCAGTGACATGGTACAGCACTCAGTAACACGGTGCAGCACTCGGTGACACAGTGCAATACTTAATAATTCAAGAGCATTGCAGGCCCCTGCTGGGCTGCTCCTTTGGCCTAGCTGGGGCTAGCTGTTAAGACAGCTGCAAAACAGGCTGAGTTCAATTAGACAGCATTTCCCAAAGTGCACTGAGGAAGGCGGCCCCAAGAGATGCTCCACAAACAGACGGGTCACCTTTATGGTCAAGTAGCTTTGGTAAACATACCATGCCATAACGTCTGCTTGGAGAGCCACAGCGCGTGCTAGTATAGCAGTCTGTGACATAGCCTGTACTAAAGAAACTCATTTGATTTTGTCTAACCCCAAACTTCCCAAGTTTAATGGATCGTGTATTTTTTTTTTCACATAGATCCTATTCATATCCCACTGACCTAGTGTTGTACCGCACTGCATTCTCTGGGGAAGTTCTAGTCCAAATATTGATTTATATCATTTCGATATATGAGACCAAACTCAAACTTTTGCAGCGTGTTGAACTTAATAACTACCTGCCATGGTTTTGGAAATTTAATAGAGTCATTGCTCTTTATGTGCTTTGTTTGTTTGTTTGTTTTCTGTTCTCATTCATATGTATAGGGGTAGTGATCTTCCTGCCTTCATTAGGATCTATGGACATGAGACCATTTTTTGTCATTTCCTGAAGCCACACTGCTGTTCTGGAAGGCATCTGGCACTTTGCTAAGCCTTCTGTGCTGAGCAGTTCTTCCATCCTTGGTAGAGGAGATGGCCCTGCCTAAGCCAGCAACTGGCCAGGGTCCAGGAAGCAAAGCAAAGGCACAACATGTGAATTTGCTGATTCCCAATGGTCTTATTGTGTTCCCAATGGTCTTATCTTGAGGGTTTTTGAAAATACACTCTACATATTTTAATAATAAGCATAATTAGTTTGGTTTTTTTTCATTGATGGACCAAATTCCTGAATTATTTATGATTGTATCTAAAAACAGTTATGAACTAGTCACATGGCTCTTGGAATCCTTGAATGAATTCCAGTGAAGCAAAAGTTGGGAAGAGTCAGGATTGACCATATTACCAATAACAAATTCCTACTTTGACATATGTTTTGCTAAAAAGCCTCCCAGACATAAAACATCTTAACAGTCACTACCCAAGTGTTTTGTGTTACTCAGACGCCATCATGAAACCATTCTGTGAGATCATGATATATTTGAAAATTCTGAAAGTTAATAACTGCTTTGAATATGCCCCAAATAAGGGTATTTTTGGTATCTCCAGTGGACAGTGTGTTCATTTCTATGCTGAGACACCTGACCAAATTCAAGTGTTGGAGCAGGTGAGTAATGCTTTAACCATTTTTATTGTTGTTGTTTGCCCAGTGGGAAGGATCCCTTATCTGTAACTTATCTCTAGTCTTTGCTTGGTCTTAGGGTGTCATCCAGGAGACCTGCTAAAGGCCAGGGTATTTCATCTAGCTACACAACCTTCTCTGGACAAGCTCACTCTCTGAAGCCACTTTGTCCCTGGAAGACCCAGGACCATGTATTCCCAACCATACTATAGTGCAGTTTTTGTCAGAGCAGTATAAATATATCCAGGGGAGGTTAGGGCTTGAATTTAAAAGCAACAAAACAACAACAATAAAAATGTATGTTGTTATGGAAACAGCCAGGACCACCAGCAAAAGCACATATTGAAAATGATGACTTAGAATCTGATTTCACTGTGACATTGTGTAAGAGAGTGACATGTTACACTGCTCACCTTGCTGGAATGCTGGCCTACATATGGCCACCCATTTCTCTTTCACCAGCCTGAATTAGGACATGTTTTCTATCACTAACAGTCCCAATTCCTTCCAACTTCCTGAAATTTCAAGATTGAACTGATCCTTCCCCAAATCAAATTAGTTTGTAGCTTTGGAAACTTGTCTTCCTCTGTAGTACGGCTGGTTTCACCACCCCAGAAACATGTAAGGGTCAGACCCATGCTAAGCCCTTTATAATCATGATGTCTTATAATCCCCATATCAACCTTATGAGGGAGGAGTTTGTAGATGCTGCAACTGAGCCTTGGGAATACTGATTCCATTTCCCCACGGGACAGAGCTGGGAAGACATGGAATGAGAGTAAACCTAACAGAGACAGGCAGCATGGTCTTAACTAATGCTCTTCCTAAAGTTCCTTTAATGTGCTTTTGGGACTTTGAGCCATGGAACTTGCTTGTTCACCTGGTTAAGAATGCATAGCCGCCTTGATAATCCTAGCTGGAGAGTCAGCAAAATTGAGCCTAGGGCAATCTAGGCTTCCCACATCCCCAGGGGGGCCTCACTGTGAATGAAGTCTAGGCTCAGACAGCCTTCAACAAACCTATCCTCTCCACCATCGTCCTAACCTAACCATGTCCCAGTTGTCCCAGGAACAACCACTCACAGTCTGACACTGGACAGATTTTCTTGGAGATCCCCATCAAATTGGTGTCTTCCAAAAAGCATTAGAGTACTCTGAATTCTGTGCTGTGGAGAAAAGTAAAGATGCCCTCATTGGGCAATGCCTTCTTGTATATGTAATTCAATACTTTTAATATCCTCACCTTATCTAATCTTTGAATTTTGTCATATAATTTATTGTTTTATTAAGTTTACTTTTTGTTACACAAAATTAAAATCTATATCCAAGCCATGATGCACCTTGATTTTTTTGTCTTCTGTAGTATGGGTGATAGGAAAATGTATCAGGTTCATTCATCTCAGTTTTCTATTATAGGATGATTAATTGTACAATTACTTGCATCACACAAAACATTTGTAATAAAGCCATGCTTTAAAATTGTGCCTCTGTTTGCTTTCAGATATCAACAAATCCAAAAACCATGGGATTTTCTATTCCAGATTCCTTGATTGAGGAAATGAAAAATAGCAGTAGGACTAAAGTCAGAAACAGAACAAGAGTGCCCACTAACACCACGGAAAATATTTTACTTCAGATACTAGCTAATTCAGTTAGGCAAGAAAGTATATGAGGGTTACAATCTGGAAAAGAGGAGATACAACTTTAATATTTATACATGATGTCATTGTAAAGTAGAAGATCTAAGAGAATTAGCATACAATCTTTTACACGATTAACATAATTAATGGACTAAAATCAACAGGCTTTATGTGTGCAAACAACAATCAGAAGCTGGAGTATAAGAAAAGATCCCATTTTTGTAGCAACAAAAAGGGAGGAAAAGACTTGGAATGATTTAAATAAAAAAAATGTATTAAGTCTTAGATGAAGGAAATTTTAAGATGAAGGATAAAGAATCGAAGACATGAAAAGACACGTTAAGCTTTTGGGTAGGAAGTCATCATACATTGTCAAATTTCCATAAATTATAAATATTTCTTGATCCCAACTGGGGCATAGATGTCTAGTTAACCCCCCATGCATTTTCCACTTCATGTCTTCTTAGCAATCCTAAATCCAGGCACTTAAACTGCAGATACACTTACACGTGCAGAATTGCAGATGTGCATTTATAGTATTGTTTGTAAGAGCAAAAATGGGAAACAACCTACATTTTCATCAACTGGAGACTGGTTAAATAAATGATGGTACATCCACAATATGCAATGCTTTGCAGTTACTAAGAAATATTTACATGCAGAGCTATCACTGGACAGAGAGACAGGTGACTTGGGAAGAAGGATGGGAAGGAGACTTATGTTTTGGCTGTATACTGTTCTTTTAACATTTTGGTGCCAGTTGCATGTATTTATCTATTCAAAATAATATAATTTCTTTAAGAAAAAAACCATAATCGTGGAGGCTGAGAGGGGACCCTCACATAGGGCAGGACACACAGGCTGTTGAATGATTGCCCAGGTCCCCTTGATGCTATTGCAGCATTCATCCACAATTTAGCACCCACTGTGTACCCAGCACTGTGCTAGGAAGTGCAATTGGTATTGGCAATGAAAAGGCAAGTATGACATACCATGATCAGATTATTTGAAGATGGGAGGAAAATGAATGACCATTATTGTATAATTATTATTTTAAAGACAAGGGATGAATTTTGTTCTCACACTTTCTTGAACACCTATGTCTGTTCTAGTACTAAAAATTCAGCACTCTCTGGAACTCCAGTTCTCGTCTTCTGAGTCTGAATTTGGTCAAGCCTCTTTCCAACAGTGGGCCGAAGAGACCCAAGAGTTGGTTGCAGGGGCAGGTAGAGAGTTTGGAAGTGGAGTCACATTCTACCTCTCATTTTCCCTTAGCACTACTTATGCAATCGATGTTTTATGCAATTTTAGGGATGTTTTTAAGTGTATAAATCGTGCACACACTTTCCCACTATAGAGGAGAAGGGATGACAGACACCAGCATAAAGAACATGCCAGAAAATATCTTGACCTCGCACATTATTTCTATAGGAAAAAACAACTCCTTGAGTCCATTAAAAACAAAGCCTTCATCTCAGGGATAAGATCTCTTCTCATTGTCTGTTTATTCATTAACTCAAGAAACATTTATTGAACTCCTTCTGTAAAAATTATTCTTCCTATAGATGGATACATTTATGAATACAAAGGTTAAAAAGCTTAGTGAAAATTATCTAGCAAGTAATGAAAATTTTGAGTGACTCCCAGAACTCTTGATTTTAAATCTATAGGATAAATCATTAAACTACACACACAGACACACACACACACAGTAGTTTAATTAATGTTGAGCAACAGTTATTTGTTATCTATTATTTCTTGATTCCTATATGATTTTTATTCATGATAAGGAAATTTAAAAGAAATTGTTTAAAAAGATTCATATATAAGCTACTATCTTCACTTTTCCAGTCTTTGTCCATATAAAAACATATTTTCATCAAACTGTAGCCAGCATATTTTTTTACTCTTTTTAATGTGTTTAATATTATGGTATTTTCCATTTTGCTACATAATCACTATAATCATTTTTATTGCTGCATAATATTCTATCAAATTGATCTACCATAACAGATATTCCCACATAATTAGATATTAAATTTTTCCAATATTTTATTGTTATAGGTAATGCTATAATGACATTTTCATGTATTCAGCTTTTCCTTTCCTTTGCATTATGTCCTGAGGAGAAATTCCCACGAGTGAGACTGCTAGAACAAAAGTATACAGTTGAGATGAAATTAGCATTAGCGACAGAATTAAAGGCAATAACCAGACCAGCAAGAGCTCATTCCTCTGCTGGGAGAATTCCCAACCAGGTATTGATTGGCTTAATTGATTATGTGGTGTGTCCACTCATCGTGAATATATCCATAATAACCACATCAGGGGAATCACAGTCAAACAATTCCTACCATTTAAAATGAGCAGTGTCGATGCTGCGCTATAGTTTATTGATCTCCTTCAATACTGCTCTTGTTGATGTACAACCACGCTATTTTGTGTACAGATAAAAAGTGTGGAGCTGTGGAAGAATCCAGGATTTACCGACTAGAGGTCTGGACTGAAGTTGTTTTCTAGTTGCCACTTGGGTGATTTTGAGCTGATTTCTTTCCTTCTTGATTCTGCAAAATGAAGTTGATAATAATAAAGCCTGCCTATCAGGGCTGTGGAAAAACTCAGAGTAGTCAATACGCGTGAAAGACTTTTCAAAAAATAAAGCAACCTATACATGCTTTTAAAATTTAGGAAAATGATTTTGGAGGGGTGCCTGGCAATTCAGGTTTTGTTTGTTTGTTTGTTTTTTAGTAAAAAGGAATGTTTTCAACTTCTGTTTCTGTTGACCCTCCTCCTCCAAACCTCGTGGTGGTCTCAGACACTCAGGAGAACTTGGATGCTTGAGAGAGAAAATGCTTTAGGTAATGTCTATTTAATCTGCTCAGCCCAGCATAGCTGAGAGGTAAGTATTCATAAACACCCGGGATTTTTCTAAAACAACCCCTTTAATTACACAGAATTGCACACCAACCAGAGCTTGGCTTAGGATGATCTTAGCCGGAGCCCTCCCTCTTACTACCCGGCCCCCTGCCCATCTCAGATCCTAAGCCACCAAGCAATGTAGGAATGCAGATTTCAGGCCTGTGTGGGTTACCCAAAGGTGCATTTCAATAAGAACTCTTTTAATTTGCCATTCTTTTTTCCCTCCACCCAACTTCAGTGACCTGTTTTTCCTAATTTTTACCAATATTTTCCACTTGGGGCTTTTATTATTTAGATGCCTTTTTCTTACCTCATTTATTTGCATTTCCTCTGTAGAGGCAAAGTGGGGAAGTGGCAGCTCCTGATGACTTGAGAGCTTCAGGTTGAGCTCATCCTGTTTCTAAAGCACCCTCTTCATTTACTAACCCTTAAAAGCAAGGCTGACACGCAGGCATTTGTTTCTGCATTCTGTGGGGGGCTGTGGCTCCCGAGCAGCACAATAACTAACATCTGTAGCAACCACAAAGCTGAGGACACCAGGGATGCAGATTTAGCTCTGCATTCGTCCAAGCGTTCTGTAAATAAAAACCCCATGCCACAGTCTTCCTTTTTGTGTTGGCCCAGAGAGCTCCCTTCTTTACAAGCAGAATGAGTAAGAACACTCACAGGGGAACGAGAGGGAAAGGACTGGAGGACAGTTGATAATACTCACCTTGGGCAAAGACTCTTGTTGAAGTGGGAGGAGGGTATTTAAAAAAAAACAAGGATGACTATAAACCAACGCACCCTTACAAAACAGGGCAGGAGATGATGAGAAACTAACCGAGGCCAGAAGGAAGCAAATGACATGTTGCAACCTGTGAGAAAAAAAAGAATTTTAACAAGGTCTTTGTGCACCAGCATGTACCATACAATGCACAAGAAAACCATCTCTGATTTATTACTTTTCCCACAAGGAAAGTTGGGAAACACACAAGATGTGCGCCAGGTGGTTGTCTTGCTGGGCGCAGTTCTGACTTTTAAGGAAGCGTAGAAAGGGTTGCAAGCAGCTGCCAATTACCAGGGAGATGCTTACCTTCCACAGATTTGACCTGAGTAAAGGCATGTGGGTCTTTTGTGCCTGGGGAGATCTGAGTCCTTCTAGATAACGAAGGAGCTGCAAGGGAGATGCTCGGCTAGTCTACAAAGTCATGGCGAACTTGTTTATGTTTCTGTCCTTCTAGAAAGCAGTAGGGCCTGGGGCAAGGCAGTACAGAGGCATCACTCCTGGTGCTTGTCCTCACAAAACCATGCAGGGCGTCCAGAATTCTAAAGTCAGAAGAGCACACGCTGGGGGAAGGACTGATCTAAAGCAAGTGTCAATAGGGGAGATTGTTAGAGTAGACATACGGGGAATTGAAAACTGACTTGGTCGGGAGAGGCTGGGGCCAACATTAAATCATTTGGGTGTTCTCCCCACCCCCACCCTGTCCCTATTCCCCCTTTCTCGCTCTTGTTTAATCTCTTCCTTGTTGAACCGACTATTCATTTCTGATAGTCATGGAACATCTGAAATCATTGCCACGGAGAAGATTACTACGATCACTCCCAACCTGCTTGCACCCTATTTTTCAAGTTGATATGCTGTTGAGAAAATATGACTCACTCTTCCTTGATATTTTTCTTCATAAAGAGATCCCTCCCTTCTGGAGAGGAAGGAGAGGATTTTCTGGAACTACTGAAAGACTTCCCAAATTAGGAAAAATATTGCCAAAGGACTCAGAATGAAAGCTTTTCTTCTGCAGATATTGCCTGGGGCAGACACGCCATTCCCCCATGTCAGCCAAATAGTGTTGTTGGGGTGAAATTTATGGTTTGGTTTTGAAACATGAAGGAAGCTGAATCGAACTGCCGTCATGGGCGTTTTCCACATGTTCATAACAAGACGATCATATGCACGAACAGAAGGGAAAAAAGATTCATTATTGTCTGTACCACCACTAGCAGAGAACTATGAAACTTGACTATGGAAACATCTGAGACATTTCACAAGGACTCAGTACTGTCTGGCTTTACCGTATCACTGGTCTCTCCTATCACACATTCGCTCTGTCGGCCACACAGTATGGTTCCTGTCCCCGCCACTTCATTAAAATTCTTCTCACACATGATCTGCCAAATCCAACAGCATTTTCCCTGCCCTCATCCTGTTCTACATTTTTGTAGGAATGTGCAGCGTTGCCACTAACCTTCTCGTTGGGTTCTCTTGGGTTCCGTGAAGCTACGTCCCCAATGGTCCCATCCTCTGTCCGTCTTCCTGCACGATGGTTCTGCCTTGTGCTTAGATGGGCACCCCCCACCCAGGGCCCTGTCCTTAGATCTCTTTTCTTGCCGGGCAATTTCATCTGCTCCAACAAGTTTTACATCATCTTTACAGAGACTATTCCCAAAGATATAATTATTCGTTGGCAATATTTATTGGATACGCACCACATGTTAGGTACTGGATTGGACCCCAAATTGAAAGTTGTGTATGGCTCAGGACTCTCAAATCGGTCTCCAGTTATGGCCTATTTTTCTGAGCTTTAATTCTGCCGGACATGTCCATCACCACCTCACAGACATCTCAGATTTAGTGTCTAAGACCAACATCGTGCTTTTCCCTTCTAAAAATCTGCCCACCATTTGGGTGTTCTTTACCTCAGTTCTTGGCATTTCCTGGAAACATTGAGAGGAACCCTCACAATTACCTCTTCCTCCTTCTTCTTCCTCATCCCATATCCAATCAGGCAAGTCCTAGAGCCTTTAGCACGCCAAGTTTTTATATCTCTCATTCCTTCTACCGTCTAGTTCAGATTCTCATCCTCTCACTTGAACTATTGCTATACGTTTCTAATTGTTTCCCTACTCTAATTTCTGATCATTTTAATTCACCATCAAGTTATTTTTCTAAACCAAAGGTCAGATCAGGCTCAGAATCCTTCAATGATTTTCTACTGCCTAAAGGATAAAGTTTTTATTAAAGAACACTTATTATCTGTCATTGAACTATCCCTGCAAACGCATCTGGAATGACCTCCTTTCAGCTGTGCTGGATTACTCTCCACTTCCCATCTTTTGTCTATTGTCACAGGGACATTTGCTCATAGTTGCACCATTAGCCTTGAATCCT